AGGGCCGACCTTTCCTCCCAGGTAACCATAGACCACTTGGGTTGTGGCACCTTCATCCTTAGGAGCTGCAGCACAGCCAGGAAGGGGGGGCCCTCGAGACAATGCACGAAGAAGAAGGTTTCCTTCCAATGCTTCATAGAAGTGGGGACCCCGACCAACACCTTGATGTTCTTCCTGGTTGAGAAGTAATAGTAGCCCTGCTGGTGAAGTTTCAGCTAGAGGAGGTAGCTCACCATATCTAGGGTCAACTTGATGTCGCAGACCACACAATAAGACAAAATGCTGAACAAAAAACTAAAGGAATTCGGCATCAGCTGCACCGGCAACACTCGGTACCATCCAAATACCCCGGCCTCCAAGATGCTCTCGTACACACACACTTTACCCCGGCCGAGCATCTGTTGGCCTCTCACTAGGCTACAGACACCTCATCCTGAATTCCTTGGGGATGTCATACATAGCCCGGATCTGAGCCATGTCCCCAGGGGTCAAAATGCAAGGGGTGGTCCCGAACCGACAACCAGCCTACAAGGGACACTCTACTTCTACTTTAGAATGACCAACCTCGGCAGCCTCAAAGTCCCCGACCTTAAACTCATAATTAGAGCCACTAGAACTTGAAGAGGAACTAGAAGAAGAAGAAGAGAAACGGAAAGATGGGGAAGACATCTTATCGGACTTGAAGCCGTGGAATCAAAACGAAAGCCAAGCAACATTGACAACCCCTTGCCAAGCTATCTAAGCAATTCCTCTCGCAAATGGCAAAGGAGAAATGCCCTTCCACCCCTTCTTATAACCCGTAGGAGTGTGAATCAAAGCTAGATCAACTGTGGAGATCAAGCGTCGCTCTAACGAAGCTCGGGAAGACCAATCGACGTGATTGTCACCGCACGCGCAAGGCCTCAAGAACCGAAGTGACGATCTTGACAAGCAAGGTAAGGACATTGATTACCCCGGTCCACCCTAAAGTGACCAACGCTATGGACATCCGAGGTTTGACCAGGACCGCTGGTCCAATTAGCATCTCGGGTCTCCTCAAGACGCCCGACAACAAACACCGACCAACCTCAGCCGCACTACACCCCAACCGGGCACTCCACTCTTCAACTTCGGAACTGGGGGAGTGGTGTTCGGATTCCGAAATCTCGAACACAAGTTCCTCAGCCAAAGAACGAAGAGCCCTTCCGTAGCGCAGCACCACCGAGCATCAGGGAGGCCCAGACTTTGGAGCTTAACTCAACACCTTGGCGCCTGGCTGAGTTAAATGGTCGTGCAATATCTCAACCGAAGAACGAAGAGCCCTTCCTCGACATAGCATCGCCGAGCATCAGGGAGGCCTAGACTTCAGAGCATAACTCAACACCTCAGCGCTTGGCCAGGCTAAATGACCGCGCAATACCTCGGTCGAGCACTCCCCCTCCTCGACTCTAGAACAGGGGGGTGGTGTTCGGATTCCAAAGATAGAGTTCTCGAAGTTCCGCAGCCGACGGTCGAAGGACTCCTCAGCCACTACCCACATTGCATGGATCCCAAATGTTGACGAGCATCGAGGAACACCAAGGACCTCGGGGAAGGAGGACAATTCCGCTGGGGAATAGGACTCTATCCCAAGGACCTCGGTGGTTACCCTCATCCCAGCAACCCCGGAAGCCCAGTCCGACCAGGACACGGACCTTTGGCTATAAAAAGGCATTCCCCGCTCAAGGTAAGGGATTCCAATTTTCTAGCACCCATATTGTTATTCTACTTGGACCAGCACCCTTATTACTCGGCCCGGCCATCCATTACCCTCTACTGACTTGAACATCGGAGTGCCTACCCGGGGATAATTCCTCGGTCCTCTGACTTCCCTTTATTGATCACAGGTCTTCAAGAGCGCAGCCTTGTCCTCCCACCTCGGCACCACTCTGTTGGCAAGGATTATCAAAGTACCTTCCTCCGTTCGGGCACCACCTCGAATCGAGCAATATCAATTGCCATTTCAGGCTGAAAATTTTTGAATAGTACGGATGGGTGGAAGTTTCAATGGTTAGATGAGAAATCTGATAGCATTTAAAACCACGACGGAATGAGGAACTCGCCGGTGAAGAAGCGGAGCAGTTTTTGGAAGAAGAGAGATGTTACCCCGATCACCTGATGGATTTTTTTTTACTTTTACCCCAATGGAGAGATTGGTTGAGTTTTACATCGACTTTTTCGATGTGAAAATTACATTGACCCTCGATGTAAAAGTTGGATTTAAAAAATGGTTTACATCAATAATGATTCTTATTTTACATCCTGACCAAATGCATACAAAAGTGGATCACGGTGTAAAACTACACCAGACTGGGTTTTACACAGGAAACAAACACAATCTTAATGTTTAGTCTCAACAGCAATGCTGACTAAGAATTTATAGTAGATATGTGTTTGGTATGTCCTGTTTCATGTTGAAGTGGTTAAGGTAAACATTTTAATTCTATGTATCGTCAATCACACTTCCAATTACTATTATGTCAATCTAATTAGCAAGAATTTTCTAAATCCAGGATTTCATCAGATTTTATTTTTCTCCAATGTAACACCAATTACGTTGAAGTGTTGTATGATACGTGATGCATCGTATCAATTCATCAACATGCCACATTGGATGACAGGTAAGTGCCATATCAGCTAAAACATTGTGAGACTCAATGGCCGTTGGGGGAAACCTCAATTTGACGTTTCCTCCAAACATACCCTACGTAATTTTCTGGTTTTTGATCGAATTCATGTTAAATCGTCCTACCGAATACCGATGCCTCGCTTCTTGATTCTTTTCTTTCCCTGATTGTTTTAGTATATTTATTTCAGTGGAAAAACAAGGAGGCAAGGAGATGATCTTTTCTCTTTGATTGACTCTTGGTCTTGCATAACTCTGAGAATATTTGAACAAGATAACGACACAGCATCTGTTTCGTTCTTTGGCAGATGATGCTATTATATTAATTTCAAGCCAAAACAGGAACATACATAATCAATTAAGGATCAACAAGAATCAACTCCTAACCCCTAAACAAGATGATGCTATTCCACTTCTGCCAACTGGTTTCCTTGGAATCAATGCAGCCTATCATCATCAACTGCCTTCTCAATCTTCTACTTTGTCTGCTGGATTTAATTTCCCTTGTGTCATAAGCGTAATTCCCCAATGCATTCTTGGCCTCCTACTGAGCAAGTTGTTGTCCTTGGCTTGAGTTGAGCACCCTCACCCTCATAAAGACTTGAATGATGACAAGTTGTTATGTAGTTGTTCAAATATATTCCAGTGAAAATGCACAAGTTGATCTGTGGTTCCCTTAGCTCTCTCAGTAGGAGGAGATAAATGGCCGCCATCACCAATAAGAATTAAGACTAATCTGCTTCTGATAAGAACCGAGAGAGAACATAATGAAATTACTGGGAAAAAAAAAAGGCATCCGATCTCATAAATAATTTAAGGTGAATAGTATATATAAAAGAATGATGAAAAGATAGTAACATGACTAATTCCAAAAGCCAAAGCTCAAAGGCCAGTTTATTCGTAAGGCAAAGGCAAGGAAAGCCACAGATTCATTAATGACCAGTTTATTTGTTCTGTTGCAAACATCTTTGTTGATTGATGCCCATGCCATTTTACAATATAAACTTGCCACATCTGATCGATCATTGCAGCAATTTTCTTTTAAAGCACTTGAAAATTGCACAAATACTGCACTGCTGGCTATAGTGAACGGCAAGGAACGTACACGTAGTCATGTCAAACACCACTTGTATATTGCCATGTAGGATTTTATCCAGTTAACTCCTGTGGAAGTCTTAGTGCTTGTGGTGTGTGGTCATCCATATCTCTAATCAAAATAACCTACCACTTAATTAGAAACATTTTAGTCAAACCATACAATAATACAGTTAGCTAATACCAAGCCTCCTCTCCTAAAGAAGTTAATTAATTAAACTAAAGAAGATATTCAGAACTCTCTTTCAATCAAAAACCCATTAACACAGCATGACAACTCTCTTTTAATCAAACCCATAACACAGAACATGGCATAGATTGAATATGATAGAAACCCAAAAGGCAAAAAGGAAGAATACCATTTACACATCTAGCAAGTTATGGCAGAAGTTGTAGGTGTACTGTATGTCTAATTCCTTAACAACCAAAATTTTGTTTCCCACCCTAATAATGGAAATAAATCCCAATCCATGTAGAATGGAAAGCAAGCAAAGTTTTGCCTGTCAAATAGGCAGAAACTTAACGAAAAATTACAGATTAAAGAATTGTTTGCATGTTTTACATTGAAATTAATGGGGCCTAAACAAAATTTTAGGGAAGATAACCATGAAGCCAAGTAGTGAAGCTTTTTACAAGAAGGGCATCCAATTGGAGAAGGTTCTCATCTGCTCACTGCGTTAATCCAGTCTCAATCTCAAAAAGCATGAAAGAGAAAGGCATACCATGCCCCGCCATGGATCATTACTTTACTGACACCATAGCTCGGGGCATCATAAATTTCGACAGCCTCTCAAGGCTTCACAGGCTTACATCTCCAAATCAGTACCAAATAGACACAATTAAGATCTTATTCCAGAAACCTAAGAGGCATATATATAAGCAAAATAGAAAATAAACCACCCAACCATCAAGGCCCAGAGAAAACCAGCAAAAAAATATATCATAATCAACATATATCTTCAAAAGGAGCAACTATCCTAAAGTTACTTGACATCCATATAAGCTGAACATATCAACCAAATTCATAGAGACAGAAAAAGTTTCGACTGGAAAAATAACACAAACGAGGGCACAAATGTGGAGCTCAATCGAACAACCATGGGTCAAAGAAACCCTAATTTCATATGCCAAATAATCTCGAATTCAATCTCACGCCAACACAGTATACGTTACACCCAAAAATAAATTAAGCATAACTTTGAGCATCAAAGATAGAAAAATCCGCAGCAGAAGAAAAGGAGAAATTTCCGAAACCCTGGGATAGATACAATATTGAACTTCACCAATTCGCTATTATTTTCATTCAATACCATCCGGGAAGCTCTAATTCATCATAACATAGTCATCACAAATGCACGAAAAATAAAATTCTCGGATTTACTACAACATACCAATCCCGTACGATTGATCCTTATAAAATTAAACTGTAAAGGAGAAAACACATAAACTATAGATAATTCCAAACCCTAGATCTTGTCAATATCTTCGTCCTCAAACTCGATATAATCATCCCCAGCACCATCCTCCTCCTCGTCGAGGCCGGCGGCAATACCCTCGTTGAGACGGGTGTTCTCCGGAAGCTCGCCGTATGCCTTCAAGAGCCTGGCCTCATCAGGCATGTACTTGAGGATAACATCAGCCTTGTCATCCTGATAATCGCGGAGACCGACGAGTATGATATCTCCAGCGGCGATCCAGACCTTCTTGTGCATCTTGCCTCGGATATGGCACAGGCGTTTGGTGCCGTCGATGCACATGGCTTCGCAGCGGCCGTTGCCAAGCATCCGAAGCACCTGCGCATACTCCTGCCCGTCTTCCTTGAAGACGAGTTCTCGCTTCTCGTCGTCTGCTTCGTTCTTACCTCTCTTCCTGTTCTTACCTCCCTTACCCTTGTTCTTCGGCATATCTGCTGGTGGTTTCTGCTGACAAAAGAATATCAGTTGCAGAAACCCTAACCCTAAACTTCGATTTTTCCTAGTAGATTCTCTCTAGCTACTTCCTCCCGTGGGTTTTTTCCCCTCTCTCCCTCTCTCTCCCTCTCTCTCGATCTCCCGATCCCGACTAGTTGCTCTAGAGCTTTAAAATGGTGCAGGTTTGGCCGCGTAGGATTATTAAACGATTTTCTTTTATTTTCCTTTTATGAATTATGACAAGGAGTGAGTTACTTTTATTACCACGTGTATGAGATGTCGATGACTAGACCGTTCATCCGGACCCGATTCTACAATAAGGAGCCATTACGAATGGGAATCGATTCGAAAAATGAGAACCGGGGTTTGTTTTAGGTGTAGTGTAAATGAGAACCGGGGTAAATATTACACCCCGGTTCAAATGTCCCATGTTTGTTTTCAGTATAAAATTTTTCAATGTAAATTCTATTCACGGTAGACTTATACATCGATTTTATCGATGTAATTTTTACATACACTCACTATACCTTTTTCACTTTTTCTAACCATTCATTATATTTAAACTGATTAATTCACTTTTCAACGATGTACTTGATTAAACGATTATTGATGGTGCCACATAGGCTCCATCTCAGTATTTTCTCTCTCTTCTTCTTTTATATACATTGAAAATGTAAAAAGTGAAGTTTAGTTTACGTGCATGTTATCCGTTTGTAGAACTTATTTTTTGAAATTTTCACAAACGGGCTGGCCGTTTATTCATTATTACGCTGAAGTAGCGTCTAATTGTCATAAATAATTGCAATTATTGCATTTTTCGACTAGCAAATAAAATACAAACACTTATTCAATAAACAGAATCCAACACATATTAAGATACAGTTTTTTATTTCCTCAATCCCTTGCAAAAGCATCTTAAGACTTAACCATAAATCTGGAATGTGCCATATCATCAATGCAGGTTCCACAGTTCCACACACAATATTCTTGATTGTTGGTTGAGATTCATTTGTAAGGCGTACAAAACAAAACTTTTGTGTCCGTAGCATTAATCAATGGGGCGGGTTAAGTGGTGAACCCGCATTGATCTCATCTTTAATCGGATTTTCGGGTCAAGCTGTTTAGCAGTGTATAATTTTTTTGTGGTGCAGGCTGGATCGGGTCATCACCATCATTATCTAAGCCTTATCTCAATTATATATTTATATGGATCCGCTGACTAGGTTGGTATCTCATTTTGCCTATTCAGGCACCGGTTAGAGTTAACCAAACCCTCTACTTGTCCACAAAAATACCTGAACCTAACCCAAGGTGTTAAACCCTCCAACCTGACCTTTATTTTGGTATGGCCAACCCTAATCCAACCTAAACCGAAAATCATTAGCCCTGATCTAACCTCAAAGACAAAATTTGCTTGGGTTGAGCTCAAGTTAAAATTGTATTGACCCAATTCTATCATTTTTTTTTATTTTTGCCTTAAGGCTCAATTTGAAAAAAGTATAAATACAAATATATATAGTATAAATGTATACAAAATAATACAAAATACAAGGTTTTGCACTCTACATTTTACAACTCTGTTTGGTTGCAATGTAATGCAAACTTATAGTAGCCCAAATGATTTAGCTGCATATTCTGATTTATTTTTATTTCAAAATTTATCTTTTTTTGTTTGATTGCAGTAAAACTGAAGCAAAAGGAGACCTGAAGCAGAATAGAGTAAAACCCAAAATAAAATTAAACCAGAATTTACATTCTTTTCATTTGTACTCCCATACATTTGCACTACTACAAATAAAATTGCACTGCAACCAACCACATTCCAAACTTTATTACGAATTAAAGTATGTGTGAGTGTATGAAAAAAATGGTTCCATGGTGAAAAGTCTTACATTGAAAAGAGATAAAGAGATGCACATCAAACCTGGCAGTTAAGATGGCAGGATAAGAAGCTCTCCAAGGCAAGTTGGGATATCCTGCCAACAAAACACATTGATGATATTGGTAGGCTGTTGGAAGGTATTTTATTGGCAGGTTAGGTTGGATACTTGGAATTGGACTAACCTAGCCCAAATTAGAAGTTACACCATACCTAACATGTGCTAAAATTTTACCTAACCAAATTACCCACAAATTTTTCTTTTTTCATAATTCAATTAAATCATTTATAGGATTTTTGGAGTTATATAGTATGATTCTTTTAAGGGCAAGGAGATTTTATTAAGCCGTGGAATTTTTCACTGACATTCATTCTCATCCTATTGTAATTGTTGATGACCATTTGGACACCAGCACCTCCCCGTCTGAAGCTAGTCAGTCATCTGAAGCAAAATTTGCTCCTCACAAAATGCATCTCACATTGACCTCACAGCTCTATCCCACCATGTATTGAGAACATCTCCCTATGAATAACAAAATATTTCCTATGTGCGGCTCGAAACATCAACCGCGTTAAGTGTTGTTAGTGGAGGGGATTATTTTCCCATCTTATTTTGCCAATAATAAAAATAAAAAAAAAGGATTCCCACGTTTATCAATCATCCTCTTCTCCATTGGTGAAATCATGACAATATTTTGATTTTCATTGGGATGATACAATTTGACCACAATGATAAACGGTTTCCTTGGGGTTAAGCTATTTCATTAGATAAAAGAGGTCAAATGATAAAAATTGAAAGGGAAAAAAATAAAGTTTCGCTTGATCAAAACTCTTCATATGCTTTCTTTTTTTTTTTCAATTTAGGCTATATTTGGTTAGAATTCTATAAAAAAGGATCACCATTTAAAGAATGAGTTTTCAGGAATAAGAAAGGCTTTAAATCCAACAATTTTCATACATCAAAATTTTGCAAGTCTCACTTACATAATATGTGTTTGATTCCATTGACATTTATTAAATAAATATTTTTTGTATTAAATAATTATTTTTATTTAATAAATATTTTTATTAAATAAAAATAATTAATGAGAGTATTTATGACACATAAACATCATTAGCCACTATATCAGCAAAAATACCAATAAACACCTACCCAAAGCTCCAAAATAAAACTTTATGAGACGAGAAACACAGAAATCAATGTTTACTTTAATACCTACGATGCACATAATGAGGCCTTTGACGAACACATACATAGTCTAAACCGCCTCAATTAGCTATTTTAACACTTTAACAAACATTAGCCATCACATGTTCAGTTGTCTAACAACATATGAGCAGCACTTACATTTAAGTGATTTAATTGGTGGAACACAGTTATTACTGTTTACTGGTTAATTATCGTAATTTACCGTATTATCTTATTTATTTATCTTATTAATATCATAATAAGTAGTATTTTCTTAAATTCCAATTCAGTTCGAGGCTTCGAACACCACCACATTACCTTTACCTGAATCCGCAACAGTATACATCAAATCCCCCGCAGAAACCTCTGCATGCATCGAAACCCCAGTTTCTCCACACAAAACCGCTCCAGTTCCTCCCCTCCTCGCTCCTTGCACGCATCTTCTTCCATGTGCGCAATAACCTCATCCCAATTCCTCAGGAATCCGTCCCCGTCGTCCACACGGGCATCCGCCACCGCGTCTAATATCTCCTGCAGCACGACGACCCGACGGCTCACCGACCTCCGCAACTCGCGGACCGTCGGATTGACACCCGGCACGGAATCCAGCTGCAATAGCAGCGACATCAGGGCCTCGTTCATCCGCAGCTTCTCTCGGTCACCGCTCCGAATGGCGTCCACCGTCTCCTGCCGTTGGATCAGGCGTTCCAACCGGTTCGCCTCTGAATTGATCGCCGAGATCTTGCTAACTAGCGCCCGCACCACGTAGGCTCGGTAGGTGGACTGTATCTTGACGGCCGCGGCGAATTCAGGGTCGTCAGGAGGCGCTTGAGTTTGGGGAGGAGAAGTACTGGGGAGGTGGTCGGTTACCGGCAGCGGGGTTTCGGAGGGGGACTCGATTGGAATTTCGACAATTTTGGGGTCCGATGGAGGGGCATTTTGATCATTTCGGCTGATATTAGTGACCGTGGTGGTGGTCGTCGTGTACGAGAATCGTGCTTTGAGGGAGGCTTTCATGGTTGAGAGAAACGAAACAAAGGAATTGAGCTTCAGAGTTGCTCCAGCCGAAGACGATGAGGTTGAAACTTGAAAGTTGAGACTTCAGAGTGGATGTTTCCCGAAAGCAGGTTTGGCGCGTTTCGCCTCCAAAAGAACCCGGTGATGTCATCTGTGGGACCCATCCATAAATCATCGAAAAGCGAAAACCCCAGAGGATATTATTGGGGAGTGCATCTCCGGCTACAAACCTGACCGGCGGCCACCACTACCATCATCGTCCTTCGTTCCTCGCTATCTTGAGGGAAATCAAAAACCCAAGAATTTTGTAGAGGTTCAACTTATTACAGAGAAAAATGAAGAACAATCCTTGATCATTGAAAACCATGTAAGACGACAACTACCATGAAACAGATCGAGTTTGTTTAGACCAAATGCCAAGAAAATTACCATGACTGAGTTGGTTGATTTATTATCAGCATGTACAGCTTCACAGTACAGTTTCGGCCTTTCGGAACGGTGGGATCAATGCATACATCTCCCAGACATTAACTTAGGAGAAAAAAAAAAGAAGAGAAGCAGAATCAAGGCGAAATAAATAATTTGACCTTCAACTTGCACAAATATAAGCCCCATATCCAAATTCCAAGCATGAACAATCAATTAATCAAACAAATCGCCAATCGGATAATGACGAATTTATGAGTTAACATCCCCTGTCAAAGAAGCACTAATTGGACACGCCCTGTGTATTCTCATTTTCGCAGCTGAAACGTTTTTAGAGAGCTTGTCATCTAGATCACTATCTACCACTTTGTAGAGCTTTGGCTTCTCTATCTTGCCTGACTCAACGCTTTCTGCAATGAATTGGAGCCCCTGAAAGAATATAAACATGCAGTAAACATGAGATAAAGGGAAAAGAAAATTAATGCCTTCAAGTGAAAGGTGAAACATGGCGTACCTTGGGTGATTTGTCCTCATAGTTTAAAGAATGCCTCAGTGGAGGTTTATCATTAAGGTCCTGTCAAATGAAGGAAAGATTGTCCATCCATATCAATTATTCAATATTTGGAGTAACACAGAGGACCAATAATTTATCTTTATTAGGTTTGGACTGTATCTAGTTATCCACCATACAGTCCACTACTTTTTAGTTTAAAAATATCATATAAGATGCATTATATATAGGAGAACAAAGGGACCATTTGGGAGGACTGAGGCTTTGGTTGAGTTGCTTTCAAGAAGCCACTAAAAAAAGTTTCTTAGATATAGTTTGCTGTATTTTCTGTCCAGAAACTATAAATATTGCAGGCACCGGATGTCTGACCTGAAATAGTTTGGTATTTAGCCCATCTTTAATTCCCCCAGCAACTTGGCATAGATACCAGAGGCCTGAATTAGCAATGTCCTGTACATATTCGGAGACATCAATAACTTCATAAATTTCAATAGGTACAAAGTGAGAGTATTCATGATGAGTACTTATGTACCTGTTTGCTTTCAAGAAGTCCAATCTTCCCTTCCTGCTTAGTGGAAAAGTTATCATAACATCAATAAAATGGTTCTTCCTGCTGATGTACTTAAGGTTATCACACTGAAGTTGTAATTAGCTCACCAGTCCAGACACCATTTTTTGGATTATTTCAATATCAAATCCAATTTGAGAAAGATCTGATTTCACATCATCTACCTGCATGTAAACAAGTAGTAATGAATAAATACAAGTTTCCAAGAAAAATCTAAATTATGGAAGAAGGCATATGATCTTGATTCAAATATGCATATTACACTCAATTCTCAAATTTCAAGAAGGGTGGAAATGACTGCTCAGACATTCAAACTGGTAGGGATCCACCAAACCCTCTCAATGGGTTGAAATATTAGAATAAAAGGTTACATCCAAGGCTTCCTTGCATAGACAAAGATGGAGAAATGGCATATCTTTCCCAATACAGTTCTCTTCAATATACTCTTGGGGTCGTGCTAACCTAACCAGAAAGTCAAACATCCATTCTCCCATCCTCCAACAATCCAACCTTCTCAATTTAATTTCTTATTTTTGGTTTATCCAATGAGGTTGCAACTTGCAAAAAACTCTGATTGATCAGGAGGTTTTCTAAATTCACTGAATGATTGAAAAGTTATTATGCAACCACATTAGACCTCTTTTGTGTTCCTGGAGAGAAGACCTTAATAATTAGCACCATGACTTAAAATCCCGAGCAACATGTCACCAGAATCCTAACTCATTCGGTTGATTGACCTGGTATGCATAAAAATGAACTGAATTGGCAAACTGGTGAAAACAACTCAACATGGCCAGTTCAACTGCCAAACCATGCCTAACATCTTATAAACTTGAAGTTTTTTATACATAGATGCCATTTGTTGAACAGGTCAGCATGCTTAGTCAACTCCCTTTGCAGATTTTAACAATCAATTAGATTAATTGATAGAGAAATCCTAAAAGATCTTAACTTTTATAAGAAATCCATATATAACAAAATGGAAGTACATAGAATTGGAACTCAGAAGAAAATGGCAACATATATCAAACTTAAAAACGAACAGCATACAATTCTGCATATTACTTGCCTCATTCATGATAAACTTTGATATTTCCCTCTGCTCATCCAGCTTCCCATCCAAGTTTTCAAGCCTTTGAGATAGGTGCCTTTTGGTTGACTATAAAATTGAGAAAAAAAAGGAAAGAAGGGGAACAATTGAGTATGCTAATAACATTATGACATAAAAGATTCCATAAGAGGAACAAATGAATGAACCAAAGGGTCATTGGTTGTATCTAAACATACTGCTAAAGCTGCAGAAACTTGCTCCAACTGTTTTGATACAATTGCAACAGCATTGGCCATATTACGCTTTGTTACAAACATAACATCAGAAAATGACCAGCCCTGAACAAAGCACAAAAGTAACAAAATTATTTTTCAATGAAGAGAAGGAAATGCACACATCCAGACCCCAGACCACATAATAGAGCAAATGCAATCATATAGGCTCTGCAAATTCATAAATCGTTAACAGTTAGAACTTTGCCTTCCACCACATATAGCAATATCCCATCGCTCCAAGTGCAGCAGCTGGCATTATGTAAGATGCAATGCTCCCTGTATAAAAGAAGAAAAATTGGTATCACTCTGAGTATAGATTTTGCATGGGGATACTTAAAACTTCTACAATCAGTACCAAAAATGCTTATTGCTAGGCTGCATAGAGAATTGAGAAAAATAAAGAATGTGAAATATATATCAAATAAATATCTGCTCTGATTTTTTCATCCATTCTTTAGAAAAGCTGCAAATTGAGCAAGTCTATGCATCCATGGAGCAGCAGATGAGAACATTGTAGTAGCAGTACACAAGTACAGGTGATGAAGGACATGAAATTAGTCAGTTCTTTGTCCCATATAGACGAACTTTACAAAAATAAACTGCCTATTGTTGATCTATTCATAAGCCCTTTTTCTGCTTTTGGTCGTTCCTTGTTTGATGAGGCAGGTAAAAGAATGCAATAGATTGGTTTACATTTTCATCCAATCAGAGCAATAGGAAGTTAAGTTGTCCTCCTAGGTTGAACTCACTGAGTATGAATCTAAGCCATAGCATAAGTACAAAAGGTATTGGTGTTTGTAGCATCTTAACCACTGATTTAGCCATAATACCAAAATTAAACGAGCATTGATTACCACTTGAGTCAGAATTTCCATTGAAAATGGCTACTGGACTGGACAGTGTCAACTCTCTGATCTCTTGTGCCAACTGTCGAATCTGAAAGACAAATAGGAAACCATATAACATATAATACACTATGCAAGTAGCTTAAATTTTGACTAGGACCAGCAAAGAAACCAAGAAAATGAAATTTACAATACAAAGAAATGATCAATGGTGCTATTCCCAGATCCCAATATAGTATCTAAGATAAAACCTTCCTAGACATGCAACTGTTTTTGGCTTAATATTCTGAACTATAAACTGAAGAGACAAAAATACAAGTTACAAGATTGTTAATATGTTATCCTAATTCAATTAAGAGACTAAATCTCATTTCTACTACATTACCTATATTTAAAATATCAATCCCTGATTCATATGTTACTAAACCTTAGTTTTCCATTCTATTCAAACATGAAGGAATCACCTCATACTCTCCAAGGAGGCATACTACGTCACACTCCAAGGCATTCATGGAGCAAACTATTGACATCAAAGATAAAGGAAAAGTACAGTGCAATCACATAAGATGTGAATCTAAATTAATGAATTGAAAGGGAACATATGCAAGCCAATATGCTAAAGCAAAGGAAGGAAGAGGGAAGAGGTAGGGGAGACTGTACATCAAAAGACATGAAGGAATAGTAATGAGATACCTGAGCTGCAAGAAGGGAGCTATCATACTTGTTGGATGAGATCTCCGTATCATTCACACCCTTGATTAATTCCTGAGGAAAAATATAGCCACTCTATCTTATTATTGTTTATGATGATATTAGAAGCAAAGCAAAACACCAAAACATGCAACCAAGTTCATCTTCATGCTATCAGCTTTGCAGCAGAGAGAAATAATGGTTTCATCACTTATAAATCAAAGTTCAGTAAAAGTTGTTTGTTCAAAGAAGAGCATAATGAGAGGGGGGGAATCTTTATCATTTTAGGACCACCAAATGGCCAAAGGTTAGTCTGTGCAAGCACTGAGCGCATTCTTTTTATCATAATTGAAGTAAGGAACTCCATGAGCAGCATCCTCAAGTTCCTTTACTGTCTGGTTAACGAAAATTGAAGAAAACAACAAGAACAACAAAATGATAACAATACAGTATATAATATTAGGGTGCATAATCTTAAACATTAACCGATAAATAGGATGCACATTGTGAAATCTGGTTTTGTGATAAACATAAAGCTTTTCAGATTGATTCTGGATGGCCTGTGTCCTTTTTTTGGGTAAAAGAATACAAGAAATTATAGCTTGCATACAATAAAAAACAAGGAACATAAAATATACCCCAGATCCTGTTGAATCTATTAATTAATCTAGCAATAATGGGCACTTGACTGATTCTTAAACAAGATACCACTTCATGCTATCAAAGTGTGACTAACATCAGAGTATGAGAAATCACTTGAAGACATAAATCTGGGCACATGACCAGTTCCTACTTGGCTCACCATCCAAGATGGTATTAATCATAATTACAGATTTCTGCACTTTCTAGTAATTACTTCAATTTAAGGGCTTAATCCACTCCTACGCAAGAATACCAACAATGTAAAGTAATTGGATTCTATAGGTGGAAAAGTTTGATTTAATTTTCAAACTCATCTGCTATAAAATGTAATAGAGGTGAAAATTTTTAATTATTACCAGTTATTTATTGTGCAAAAATAACAACCATATTTTTTTGGTATTTAACATTCACAGTCAATGCACACAAGGTTTTCATCAACAAGGAAAGAACTGTAAAGGTCACAACTTAAAATTGAACATGCTTAACCTGACATCAGTCCATCAGTACTAGAAACATACATATTTAACATCATGAACAATTAAAGGCAAGAGAAAAAAGTTCTTAAGAAAACCCTTTCTTTCCCATCAGTTCACCATCTTAAAGAGATAGAAAACTTTAAACTTAATGGAGATTATGCAATTGGTGTTTTGTTCCTGAAATGGATGGAAGTTCTTATATTGACAAGTTCGTGTGAGATATCATAATCAAGGAATCAATTACCTGAAGCTGAAAAATAACATCAGACAATTGGCCGTTCCTCAAAATAACAGAACCAGTCAAACCTAAATGACAGAAAAAGGAAAAAGAAACCAACTGATTTCAGATGCCAGGGTGAACAATATGATTGTAAAAGGGCTAATAATGTATCATTTTCTTTTATCAATGAGAATAACTGACAGTACAAAATAAGAACCTTTATACATCCAGAGTTAACAAAGAGGTGGGAGATTAGGGCTGCAATTGGCATTCCTTATTTTTAGGACTTATCTCCTTTTTGCAGTTAAAATGCCCCTATGAACACTGATTTTTTAATTGCAAAAAGGAGATAAGTCCTTAAAATAAGGAATGCCAATTGCAGCCTAAATAAGTTCCAAACGTAAAGTTCATTAAAGTTAGAGCCAGAGGGATTGTGGGGTTTCTTCCTTTTCTTTGTTATTTTATAGATGCATATTGGTAGGAACATCATCATCATCTAAGCCTTGTCCCAGCTATATGCGGTCACATGAATCCTGTTTTGCCATTCCGTTCTGTTCAGTGCCATATCAATTGTTAAATTACACGCATACATATTGGCAGGAACATAGAAAAAAATCAGAACATGTAACACCAGAACCCATAAAGGTATATGTCCACCAGAAAGTTTAGCCTAGAAACCTGTCAATTAGCATACCATCTAGTTAACACTAGACAGTCTTTGAAGCTGCACCATAAACCATGAAAGATGAAACCAAAATATTGCTTGAAAATTAGAATCCTCTGGCTCTGCAGAAGAACCTAATTACAATTTAATTCAAACAAAACTGCATTACAAAAAGTAGGGATTAAAGGTTCTTCAAGATGTCAAACCAGGACATGACAAGATTGGGTTGAATCAGTTTTGAGTCGCTGCTGTGCATTATCTGTCTTTAGGTTTCTCTTGGAGAACCTCCTCCCATGCTTTTATATTTCTTCTTTAAGGGGCATCTGTCTTTTGGTATTGTTTTCCTATTTAAAATCCTCTAGTTTAATGGGAAGTTTTTATTGTGGGGATTCAAGACGAAGCCTTGGTGAAAGATTCAACCTCAGTGGTAGGAGAAAACTTGTTTAGAATGGTCTTTCGTGAGAAGAGACCCACCAAAGGTTGAATTGAAGCTTGGTGTTAGAAATTAATCGATTAGGACCAAAACCCATTAAACTCTCAAGGGTTTCATATTGTAGTTTCGATTCACAATTAGATTGTTTTATTTAGTGGATTTCATATATTATGCTCTGGATGAAAATTTAAACCTTGCATTGATCAACTCATGAAATTTTACTGAAACCATCCGTTTCTATGAAATATTACTGAAATCCTGCCATTGTTTTGATGAAATCCAAATTGAGATTACTGTAAAATCGAAACTCCAAGCTTACCGAAGCTAGAAGAATAAATCGAATAGGAAGAACCAGATCAAGCCTCATAAACTATTGGGGAGCGAGAGCATACAATGATACAAACAAAATTAAAGGAGAGAGAGAGAGAGAGAGAGGGATATGACCTGCTCCGACAAGAATCAAAACTTTGGAGGTTGAGACCCCGGTCTGCATCGCCATATTCGCAGTCTTAAGAGACGGGAGGATTGTCTGACCACGGAGACAGAGTTTTCAGTTTGGAAAATGATACAGCCACGGCGTATGTTTTGATATTGACGATAGAAGTGCCAGCAGTTTCCAAGCAAGCCTATGCCATTGGCAATATCATCAGCCACGTTTCCCGTCTTTACTTTTCGTGTCCGAAAGAGACATTGGCGCAGGCATAGTAGAATCGATTTTAAAGTCCAGACTCCGGATGTCTTGCACACTATAACTCTGCCCACGTTTATACTACTCATATAGGGAGAACATCTCATCCTTTATATAGTATTATATTATGAAGATATTCCCAATTCACATGAATAGTGTATTTGGGTAAGTGTGGATAGGAGATTCGGAGTCATAAGTCCAGTGCTTGTAGTTGTCCCGTCGGACCCACCCTCCCTCCGCAAAGGCACGCAAAGAGGGTCAGCCCCGATTCCAGAAAAACACCCTCCGCATTGCATATATCAATGGGTCGGGCCTATCAGATAGAAATCAAACCAATTTTATTAATTCTGATTTTATGATTTTGTTCTAATTAATAATTAGGGGAAGACCAATTCTTGATGTTCCCAACCAATAACTTTGCCAATTGAGAGGTGGCTCAATCGGTACATTAGATAGTTTGTTCTGGTGTGATGTCGTTAGAGGTGTAAATCAAGCGGTGTTATGCCATGGGTGGTCTGTCAGGCTATGTCAGGCTGTGTTGTGGATACGGAGTGGTTTATGGACTAAGCCTTTGGCAAGATCAAGCCATGGATCAGGGCAAGCCATGAAAGGTATAATTTTTTAGAAAAATAAAATAAATTAAAAAAATTAACAAATTAACAAAATAGACAAAAAATGAAAAAAAAAAAATCTTAAATTTTTATTTTATATAACTTTTGATGTATACAATTGCTTATATATGCAAGGTTATAATGTAAAATCCTCCCCTAAATTTTCTGACAATCATTAAAACCTCCCCTATAGTTTCACTTTAGAAAAATCCTCCCTTGGATTTTTAAATAACTTGACAAAAACCTCCCTTCTGTCAATGACCAAGACGAAAAATGTCATTTACGAAATTACCCCTAAAGCATTATTACGGTATTATTGCTTAGTATATTCCATTCTCATAATATTCCATCCATTTTTTCGACAATTGTTCTTCAGTGAAGGTTATTCTTGACCAACAAGTCTTCTTATATTTCCGTTTTGAAGCTCATGTTTTTGGCAACTGTTCTTCACAACAATTTTCTTATCTAATGCCTTCCAAGGAAAATATTAACATTATGATGCCTTTATAAGGGTGCCTATACAGGGGATGGAGAAGTCCATTAGATTTAGATATCTATCAGAGTTTAAGAACCAAGAGTGATGCCTTCTATCTTTATGATTCTTTTAATGATATTTGCAGGTAATGGATGTATCCACTATGGTTGCGGTGCAATCAAATATTGTTGGGATTGTGTTTTATTTTACAACTATTGGATTAATTTTAATCTAACGGTTGGTGTGGTCCCTCTTTAGGTTAAAGAGGTTTTGCATATAAAAGCTTTCTTTTGTATGTAGGATTAAGGCTTTTTTAGAAAGAGAGTGTGAGAGAAAAATACAGAGTGCTCTTGGTGTGAAAGTTGGTTTTTTCTCTTGTTTTTGTTATTCAGGTTGAGAGGAAAGGGAGAACGGGTGTACAATGATTAAGGGTTTGTTTGAGTTGCAAGCCACAAGATATTTGTAATGCTTCTCAGTTTTCCTTCATAATGAATAATAGGTTTCATTTCTCACGTGGTGCTTGTTTTTATTTGTCTTTGTTTGGATTTCATCATTTTTGCTACTATTAGATTTCTCGTGGTTGCTATTTCAAATACCTAGTGATATTATACTATGGGTGGTTGTTGTGAGACCCCAACAAATATGCACTAATTCAAATTCATCAGAGTTGTAGACGTTAATGGTAGCATTCAATATAAATTTTGCTTCAAGTTGGTTTCAGAATTCAATATGCTCTAGAGGCTGCAATGGTGAAATAGAACAAAAGTATGCCAAAGTTAGAGTTTTCTTCTCTCTACATGCGACATATGCCCAGTTATAGATTCAACATTATTATAATTGTGCAAGGTTTAAAATATCAATGTGATACATCAAGTATATCATCATCTCCATATCCATGTTCACCGGCACAGGATACGCTATAACTTTATATGTATCTTACTAGTTGTGTGTATCAACATGATATGTCACTGTATCGTGGTGTATCATGGTGAATACGGTCTGATACTCACCAATGTGGAGGCATATTGGACCCTAATTTGATGACAAATTAAAACCTTGATTATTTGTGTAGAGTTTATATGAATTAATATGTCATGTAGGGCGCGCCCTCTAAATAGCAAGTTGTCAATATATGTTTGGGTATGTATTTATAAATATGTATGGCGACATTTGTCACTTAAATGTCATATATGCAAATTGGGGTGTTTACTACTTGGGAGAATCTCTACGACCTAGCTAAGGTGGCATTGATATGGCATTGGTATGGATGTTACAATACATATCTCCAACCAAATAGGGGCGAGGCTAGGATTTTCTTTTGAGGGGAGCCAAAATGTAATAGACAGAGATAGGGGGGCCAAAAGTTAGTAAATATAGGTAAGGGAACCAAAATATAGGTAAAGTTAAAAAGGGTATTGTAGGGATTTTCAAGGCATACCCCTAACTCCGCCCCTACAACCAAATAATATTATAAATGATTAGGGATGGCAATTTTTCCCATCCCCATTAGGTACCCACTCTTCTCGACTCGATGGGGTTGGGCTTTGGTGGGGCAAGGCAGGGATGGGAATGGGGATTAATAGGGATCCCTAACAAGGGACGGGGTCAGAGTGGGGAATGAAGTCTTCACTATATAAGCATGCTATCAATGCCAAGTATTCTATTTGTATGTTAGGGCAAGCCTAAATAACATAAAGGAAAGAAAAAACACCAAAATGCCCCTGCAATACATAGCTGACATATTACACCACTCCCCCTCAAGTTGGGGTGTAGATGTTAACTATCCCCAACTTGTCACAAAGATCATAATGCCACAAGGAATTTAACCCCTTGGTAAAAACATTTGCAAGTTATTCTTTAGTATTGATATAAGGAGTGCACACTTCTCATTTTTCTAATTTCTCCTTAATGAAGTGTTTATCAACCTTAATATGCTTGGTTCTATCATAGAGCATTGGATTGGCTGCAATATTGATGGCAGCCTTATTGTCACAATATAGTGATATAGGACCATCAAGAGGAAAACCAAATTCTCCTAGCAAATTTTTAATCCCCAGGAGTTTAGCAACACCATGAGACATGGCCCTACACTCTATTTCTGCACTATATCTAGCCACCACACATTGTTTCTTACTTCTCCAAGCGACAAGATTTCCACCTATAAAAGTACAATAACCATTAGGGGATTTCTTGTCGTCCATTGAACCAGCCCAATCAATATCAGTATAGACCAATGTTCTGAGAATCGGATCAGATATTGACCCAATAAAGGCAAAGGTTCACAGGTTAGAGGTTCGACCAGGGTTGAACTGTGCTAATGTAATAAATTATATATATATATATACCACAGCTGGGACCAATATTGGATAATGACCTTTAAAATGTTTGTACATTATTTACAGTCCCTCAAAACATGTGATCCCTATTCACACCTTGTTTGGTTAGTGTATCAACCATGTCATTCCCTTCACTAGGACTCACCTAACATTAGCCCTTAAGTCCTTCATTTGCATCCTCCCTTACCATTTCCTATATCTCCATAGTCCATAGCTGGATTTTGTCTTAGACATTCCACAATAATGCATGACTCACCTCCCACTAAACTGTCTGTAAAGTCTAGAGAACTTGCAAGCTTTAGACCAAAGAGTAGTGTAATATATATATATATATACACACATTAAATATAAAGGAAAATAATCCAATATAGAAATAAAATAACAATTCAAACTTTCAAAGTTTAAGACAATATGTCCACAATGAAAACAAATACATCAACAAACAAAGTTTAAGACTCAATCCTAACAAATTAGATGGTATAAAATTATAAATTAAATACAATTATTTATCCTAATTCCTAAATCATAATATTTAATTATTTAATTTATTTCTAAAAAAATTCAAAATATGGTATCAATTTATTAAAGTTTAAATTTCGCCTATTTTTGTATTTTTGTTCCAAGCTTTGAAGGGGGCTTAGGCTAACCTAGAATTGAACAAATAGGTGGGTTGTCTTGCCTATTGTGTAAGAATTTAGTGGACTATAAGCCTAAAACAAAGATTAATCAAATTTGAGCAAACCTATAAACAAAACTAATGAATGTTAACCAATTTTTGAATATAGAAATTAAAAAATAAAGCATTTAAAATTTGAAATAAAATAAATTTCCAGAGATTGCAGAAATAGGCGTCAGACGGTGGGAGGAGAAGGAGGAGAAGGAGAAGGAAAGAGGAGAAGAGAGGAACCACTGTCACACAAGTGGTAGTGAACAAACCACCATCGGAGAAGGAGGGAGAGGAGGAAAACAGACGACCAACGGAGTTGAAGGGATATGGTGAACAGACCACCAATAGGAAGAAGAAGAAGAAGAAGAAGAGGAGGAGGAGGTGGTGGAGGAAGCAGAGGAGAGAGAGAGTACCTGGCATCGTCAGCTATTGCTTAAGGCAGCCGACAGCAAGGCAATGAGTCGCAGTTGTTGCTAGAGGTGATGTTCGATGACGGTTTGGGGTCGAACGAAAGAGAAAGAGGGACGAGGATTTTGGGGATTTTTATTTGGTTTAGATTTGTAAATTAAGACCTTAAGTTTTGTTTGGTTCAATTTTGCATGTTTTTGTCTTTTTGTGATAAAAGTTGGGGTGTAACAAAACCGGGACCAGTTCCCAGGTTGAACAAGATGGGTGGTCAGTTTTTTACAGTTTTTTAATAAAACAGTTTTGGGGCTATGTCCAAACTAGTGAGGGGTCATGGTCACAGCTCGACCGGTTCAATTGACCAGTCCGGCCTGATTTTCAGAACATTGGTATAAACTTTAACTTTCATGTGTCCATGCTTCTTAAAGAAGAGGTTGGTCCCAAGGAATTTTTTTAGGTACTTATGAACTTTGCTTCTTGCCTTAAGGTGTGTAATCTTAGAGCATGCATATACTGACTGAAGACTCCCATGGAATATGCAATGTCAAGCCTAGTCTTAGATAGGTA